GCCTTCTGTTGTTTTTCCTCCTTTTATGCAGAAGATCAGTTATTTCCATCCCATGTGAATTCCAGTTGAATCCTACTTCCCCATTTACCACACTTAGTCCTAATGTAGGTGAGAGAGAAAGACCCAGTTCTTAGACTCCAGGCTTCCAAGCTGATGTGACTAGATGAATATTTAAGAAAAATCTGTAGCTTACTTGCCATGGGCAGAAACTCACATCTCTATCCCCTCAATATCACTATGAGGCAGGGATTATCGCCTGCTATCCCCTCCATGGTAATAATGAGTATTTATTGAGTTTGTACCATGTACTAAAAATTCTGTGCTAAGCATTATGTGTGGATTATTGTATATAATTCTCACAAAACCCTGAGGGGCAAACAATGTTATCATCCATCCCTAATAAACAGATGAGGTAAACAAGCCTCCAGAGGGTGAATTGATTGTTTGCTATTTCTGTTGGATTGAGCTTCCTTTTAGAGAGTTTGTGAACATTTTTTTTGGGGGGGAATCCCCATTTTTGAGAGTAGTTTTGAGTTTTAGGAGATCCTTAATTGCAGAATCAGGGGTAGGAGAGCAAGTTGTTAAATACTGTGTTTGGGCAGATGGCCAATGTGGCCTCAGGGAAGGGGCTTGGCTTTCATGTGTGGCAGAAGGCAGTTTCCAGGAGTTCCTGTGGGGTTCCAGCCTTGAAAACCTTTAGGATTGTTCGAGGCTTCTCAATGTTCAGAGCACATAATATTCAGAATGGAATGCAATTTGGAGATTATCTAATTTAATCACTACATTTTGTAGAGTTAATTCAGAGAGATTATGTTTATTAGAAAAGGTCACCCACCTAGAGGCAGAATAGGAACTATAGCTCAGAGCTCATAAATCCCATCCTAGGGCTCTTTCCTTCCCTTAATACAGATTAAATTTGGGTACTTTTATAAAAGGGTATTTACTTTAATCGAATATATCCAAAATATAACCATTTCAAGATTTTTAAAAAGATTTTATTTATTCAAGAGAGACACACAGAGAGAGGCAGAGACACAGAGGGAGAAGCAGGCTCCTCCCTGGGAGCCTGATGTGGGACTCAATCCCCGGACCTGGGATCATGCCCTGAGCTGAAGGCAAATGCTTAACCACTGAGCCACCTAGGCATTCCCAACATATTTTTTTTAAGTTTGTTTATTTATTTATTTAGAGTATGAGCTGGGGGGAGGAGCAGAGGGGGAGGGAGGAGGAGGGAGAAAGAATCTTAAGCAGATTCTGCACTGAGTGCTGCAGGCGACATGGCTTGATCTCGCAGCCCTGATATCATGACCTGAGCTGAAATCAGGAGTCAGATGATGCTTAATTGACTGAGCTACCCAGCTGGTCCTCAACATGTTCTTGATAAAAGAATTGATAATGATAATAATAATTTTACCGTTTTTCTTTGGTGATTATTTATTGTGGTAAAATAAACATAACATGAAATTTAACATTTTAATTGTACAATTTAGTGATATTAAATTAGTCCCACATTGTTGTGCAACCCTCACCACTATTTCTAGAACTTTCTCATCACTCCACATTGAAACTATATACTCATTAAATAACACCTCATCCTACCCCAGCCCCAGCCCCTGGTAACCTCTATTGTACTTTTTATCTCTCTGAATTTGCCTGCCCTACATATTTCAAATAAGTGGAATCACATACAATTTGTCCTTTTGTATGTAGCTTGCTTCACTTAGCATAATATCTCAGAGTTTATCTATATTGTCAAATGTATCTAAATTTTATTACTTTTTATGTCAGAATAATATTCTGTTGTATGTATATACCACCTTTTGTTTATGTTTATCTGTTGATGAACACTTGGGTCATTTCCACTTTTTGGCATTGTGAATATAGTGTTGCTATGAATATTGACAAACAGTTCTCTGGACTTCTTTCCTTTTAAGATTTTATTCATTTATTTGAGAGAGAGAAAGAGAAGGAGAGAAAGAGAAGAGAGCAGAGGGGGAGGGAGAGGGATGAGCAGACATGGGCTGGATCCCAGGACCCTAAGATTATGACCTGAGCTGAAACCAAGAGGGGGTTGTTTAACCAACTGAGCTACCCAGGAGCCCCTGAACTACTTTTAAAAAATGAAAATCTTATTTCACTTAGCATAAATCAATCAGAGAAACACAAATACCATGATTTCACTCATATGTGGAATTTACGAAACAAAACAAATGAACAAAGGGAAAAAAGAGGAAGGGTCAAGCCAAGAAACAAACTCTTAACTATAGAGAACAAACTGATGGTTACAAGAGGAAAGGTGGGTGGGGGATGGGTGAAACAGGTATTAGGGATTAAGGAGTGCACTTGTGATAGTGAGCATTGGGTGGTATACGGAATTGTTGAATCACAACATTGTACACTTGAAACCAATATTACACTGTATGTTAACTAGAGTTATTATGCTGAGTGAAATAAGTCAATCGGAGAAGGACAAACATTATATGGTCTCATTCATTTGGGGAATATAAAAAATAGTGAAAAGGAATAAAGGGGAAAGGAGAAAAATTAGTGGGAAATATCAGAAAGGGAGACAGAACATGAAAGACTACTAACTCTGGGAAACGAACTAGGGGTGGTGGAAGGGGAGGTGGGCAGGGGGTGGGGGTGACTGGGTGACGGGCACTGAGGGGGGCACTTGATGGGATGAGCACTGGGTGTTATTCTATATTTTGGCAAATTGAACACCAATAAAAATAAATTTATTAAATAAATAAATAAGTAAATAAATAAATAATTTAAAAATGAGGTTTAGGGATCCCTGGGTGGCGCAGCGGTTTGGCGCCTGCCTTTGGCCCAGGGCGCGATCCTGGAGACCCGGGATCGAATCCCACATCGGGCTCCCGGTGCATGGAGCCTGCTTCTCCCTCTGCCTGTGTCTCTGCCTCTCTCTCTCTCTCTCTCTCTCACTGTGTGCCTATCATGAATAAAAAATAAATAAATAAATAAAATAAAAATAAAAATTAAAAAAATGAGGTTTAAAAGAAAAAAATGAAAATCTTAGGGCACAGGGAAAGGTGGGGGAGATGGCAATAGAATATGGACAAGTTGGGCAACAGTGGGATACTGTGAGATTTGAAAGAAAAAGATACATGCTTTGTTAAATTGTTGATCTGGCTATGCTTTTAGACATGGAGGTAGGCAGGAGAATGTGATTTAAGGTTAAGTAATGCACAGAAGATAGAAGAAGATGGAGGTTGTGGGAAGAGACATATTGAGGTTCAGTCTCATAAAATGAGACTCTTGACCTCATTATTTGGGTAGTCCTAATACCCGGATCTCTATTTTTGCAGAATATAGGCATCTCTTTGTTTCTTTAAGGAAATCACCTATTTCCTACATTCTATCTCTTTCTCTAAGCCTTAGTTTATGTGTGTTGATTTGCTCCAACTTTGGAAGCCACTTTACTACCTCTGAGCAGGGAATCACAATTGAATGTTCACAGATACATATCCTAGGAGGACACTTCTCCAGAGGAAAGGTTAAGTGTCTGAGGTTTACTTTCCTAAGAAGAGCCCACAGGTTGGAGAGTCCCCATGGTTTATTTACCCAAGTCCTCCACCAATATTTGTTCAGTGAAACTACTAAAGGAACACAATGGCTTTAGCTTCTCATGAGATCTGATTTCAACTGTACAATGGAGATAGCTCACCTTGACATATTAAGCCTCTTTGCAAAGCTATAAACAATAGCTGGGGTGGAAAAGTAGCTACACGACCTTCTGTATTTTCAAATCTGAGTTTATAGGATTTTATAAGTATAAAAGCAGTAGGCATAACACTTAGAAATTTTAAAATAAAAATTTATTATATCTTATACCTAAGTTAAAACCCAGACATTCAAAATGTTTGACAGTTACAGAATATACTTAAAAAAAAGGAAGATATGATTGAGAAGATGTAAGAGATAAATAGGCAAAAATATTCTTTCTTAATCTGGAAAGAAGCAGGCTGTAGAACATGAAAGGTGACTATAAAACATGAAGAGTAATCAGGGTTTGTTGCCCATGAAGGCAGGGTTATCTCTCAACACAAATATAGTCATTCATCTTTCAAGGCACACTTTAGAGAGAAAACAGAGGATTTACACAGGCTGAGGAAATAAATGGCAGATGTTAAACAGGAAGCAATATAACGTGGAAATTCAGTAACTGTATTTGATTATCAAGTTCAATTTCAAATCTTGGCACAGCACCCACAAATTGTATGGATTAGTTACCTTGTTAATGAAAGCTTCATTTCTCTCACTTGTAATGGAGGACAAAAGTGGTACCTACTCCAAAAAATGGTTGTGAAGATCAGATAAAACCTCTAAAGCACATAGCATAGTGCCTAGAACATGGTAAGCACTCAACACATGTTCCATGGCATTATGTGCAGGGACGTAGATAAATTCCCAGATAATGAATAATAAACCAACAGTGAGGTCTGTGAAAAGCTTCATTTTATGTAAATTATCTATTTCATTTCTTCATTTTGAAGGTCACACATCAGCTAAACAAGATCATAATAAATAAATTTAGAAAGTAAAAACAAAAATGAGTTACTACTAACTTGAGCACATTTCCCTCAAGGCATAGGTGCTTTTCAAGTTAGTTCCAATCATGTGTCTTTATTGTTTTATTTTTAACATTATATGCATGTTTCATTTTATAGCAGATTCTTTAAAGGTCACATAATATTCCTTTTATATAGATTATTCCACATAACATTCCATTACATAAGTGAACCATACTTGAGTTTACTATTCCTTACTTTTGTATATTATATCTTAGGATTTTTAATATATGATTTCTCTAAATGATTATGTAACAACATATTTTATGAAAAACCTGCTTTCGGCACTTAGGGATATTTTGTTAGGATAAATTTCCAAAAGTGAGAATATAGCATTAAAGCATGTAACTTTCAAAAAGTTCTTGCTACACATTGCCAATTACACCATTAGCTGTGGTGGTCAAGAATTTATATTTCAACGTTATGAATTTTCATTAATAAAAACTGCTAATAGACAAAAATGCTGCCTAATTATTATTTTAATAAATGGTTTCTCAGATTACTAGTCAGGTAGAATAATTTTTCCCTTGTTAAAAAGTCAGTTGTTTTTTTTTGTCACTCTTCTTTATGTTCTTTTTACTACATACTGGGGCATTGATGGATTTTCTAATTTAACCTTTTTGTACAATAATAATATCAATAACATTTTGACCTATGGAAGGAAATCCTGATTGCTTCCAAACTTTCACCCCAAGCAGAGGTAGACTTTGGAGGTCACAGCAGAGAAAATCATTGATATGATAGACAACTAGAATTAAGCTAGCATTAGGAAACCATTATGTAAAGGCATTAAAGATAAGGTAAAGTAGAATGGTAAGGATCATCTGTTCCCACAGCCTGAGGGTCCTTGTCACAGCTGATCTTGAACATAGCTAGCACCCGAGTTCTGATCTGTTTGGTCTTGGCACCGTAGATGATGGGATTGATCACAGGAGGCAGAAGTAGATAGACATCACCCATGAGAACATGCACAATGGGATCAAGGCTGTTTCCAAAACGGTGTACCACTGAGAGGCCAATGAGAGGAACATAGAAGGCTAATACCACACCGATGTGTGACACACAGGTTCCAAAAGCCTTGGCCCGCTCTGACTTGGAAGGCAGTTGTAGAACTGTTCGTATAATCAGAAAATAGGACAAGGAGATGAAGAGGACATCCACACCCATAACCAACAGAATAGCTGTAAGACCATAGATCACGTTGGGCAATGTATCTGCATAGGCCAACTTCATCATATCCTGGTGCACACAATAGGAGTGTGACAGCACATTGGAATGGCAGAAGGCCAGCCGCTTGATGAGCAGAGGCAGTGGGATAAAGAAGAGTGATCCACGGGCCACGGCCACCATGCCAATCTGGGCTGTTACTGTATTGTTGAGCACTGCTGCATGGCGCAGTGGGTGACAGATGGCTATATAACGGTCAAAGGCCATGGCCAGCAGGATAGTGGACTCAATAGCTGAAAGAGCATGAATAAAAAACATCTGGGCAATGCAGGCATCAAAAGTAATCTCCCGGGAATCAAACCAGAAGAGGGCGAGGATCTTGGGCATGGTGGATGTGGACAAGGCCAAGTCAATGGCTGCCAACATGCAGAGAAAGAGGTACATGGGAGCGTGTAGGCTGCGCTCTGTCCTTACGATGAAGACAACGATGCAGTTTCCAAATAGTGCCACGGCATACATTGAAAGCAGGGGGAAGCCGATCCAGAAATGGGCTTCTTCTAATCCTGGGATACCAATAAGTACAAAGGTGGTATGTGTGAAGTTGCAGGAACTCATAGCTGGCATCGAGAAGGGGGTGCTGGTGAGGGTGAGGTCACCCTGGCAGCCTGCTAGCCTGCTAGGACATGGAGCACAGTCAGAGAGGCCAGCCCTGGAAACCTAGGAACTGGATGCACCTTAGCTCTCCCTCTCCTACTCTCTCTTCCCACTCTTGTAAGCCATTTAAGCTCTTTCATAAACTCTGAAGCCCTCTTCCAAAAGGAAAATGATGGCTCAAATTCATTTATCAATTGCTACTCTCAAGATCTATCTCATTTAAAAAATTTTTTATATTTGAGAGAGAGCGAGAGAGAGAGCGCGCGCTTATATGGGGGGAGGACCAGAGGAGAGGGAGAAGCAGACTCTGCCCTGAGCATAGAACCTAACTCGGGGCTCAATCTTAGGATCCCAAGATCATGACCTGTGCCGAAACCAAGAGTTGCATACGCAACCAACTGAGCCACCCAGGTACCCCTTGCCAGTTACATTTTTAAAAGGGAACCTGGGGAGAATAGTGCTTATCCGAAAAATGTATCCTTTCCAAATTCCTTCAGACTCCGCCTGGCCTGCACCTTCATTACCTGGATATTGGGTGGTGCTTTTCTCAGATAGGTATTAAGAGATACCCTATTGAAAACCCTTTCCAGGTATGTTTCCTTTCTTTCCTCCAATTATTCATTCATTTTATAAGCATTTACTTATATGATCTATGTATAAGGCTATTTGTTAGGGCGAGGATCTTGGGCATGGTGGATGTGGACAAGGCCAACTCATTGGCTGCCATTTTATAAGCATTTACTTATATGAGCTATGATACGGAGATGAAAGACACATCTTTTGCCCTTCAGATGCCCTACCTGTGGTGGAAGATAGACAAGTAACCAAATTATTTGAGTTTTGGGATAAGTGTTAGCCTAAGGTGTGCATTTAATGCATGGGACAGGGAGAGGCATGATCAGAGGAATCTTCTTGACAGAAATGATTTTTTGTTCAGTCTTCAAACATGAGTAGGAATTAGAGAAAGGGAAAATGGGTATACTGAGCCAGTGGGGCTAGGGAGTTTTGTTTTGTTTTGTTTCCTTCAGATTTTCAGGATTCTAGGTCTCCAGGCCTAGCAAGGGGGGAAAGAAACACAAAACAACAATTTTTAAAAGAGGAAAAAAAACTAATAAGAAAAAAAGCAACAAGTCAATCTATTAAGTGAAAAAAGGAAACTCTTTTGGGGTCCTCTGAGGAAAGAGAGTAGATCTCTCCAGTGACTTATCCAGAGATGAAGGTGCTGGCAGGGTGTGTGGCCTCCAGCAGATCCTACTTGCCTTGTATGGTCCCTTGTGAAGGCTCTTCTCTCTGCTCCTGATGTTTCTCCACACCTGAAATCTTCCTCCAAGCCCACACTCCACTCCTTACCCCAAAGAGAACTTGGGTCGAGTCCTGATACTCCCAGGGCTTTCTCTTTTCTGGAATCTCTGGCAACAAGCCATTCATGTTAGGGAAAGCTTTTTGTTTTTGGAAGCCCAGCACCACTCTGCTCCCACCCTCCCACCCAAACACTTAGGCTTTGACTTCATCAAACACTTTCCCTGCTAGGCTCCTTAAGTGCTCTGGTCTCTAAAGCTAATTGTCTCTAAAGAGCCAAAGGCTTGGCTTTAATAAAAAGGACCTCTGAATCTTGGAAATAAATCTGCATGTGTCTTCATTAGTGGTGGTAAAGTAAACCTGTTCAACTCCCCAGGATTCTTCTTTACTACTAATCTGGGTCCTTACTGCAACTAGAAGATGCTCTTTCATTTGACTTTTGGGGTGGGGTTGGAGAACAGCAGTCTTAAAATATAGTGTGATAAAATGGGAACTAAGAGATTTGACTTGGACTATCCCCATCATGGATAAGCAAGGAAGAATAAATCTAAGATTCAAAGGTAACAAAATTCACACCTTTGACCACTCTTTGCTCTTCTCCCTATCCTCAGATCTTATGCAAAGACAATAGCTACTCTCCTTGACAAATATGAGATCACAAATTTCGCCCCAAGTTGCCATCAGAGAATGAAAAACCCTTTTCATAGGCAGATAATTGCATCCTTCAGTGAGATAAAAATAACTTATGTCTTACATCCATCCAGCCATCTATGTATCTATCATAGGTAGCTTGAGGAGAGTCAGAAATCTAAGCAAGTCAGGATGAAAGGTATGAGTAATGCTAAGGAAACTTCCCCGGAGGGAGGCCAGCTCACTGGATCTCTGTGTCCAAGAGAAATGGGGCCCAGAATGAAGGAAAAGACGTGGGGAGGGGTGTTACAGGGAGAGCACAGTAATGTATTCCCCCTTTCCCAAAGCCTCTCACCCATTATATTGCATGAGTACCCGAAGATATAAGAGTCTCTTTTGGCCACAGAGTTGGACTCTTTCCCCACTTCTCTTTCTGCAAAGCACCTTTTTCTGCTTTGCTGGTAGCAGTCTAATATTTTGGGCCATTATCTTGTCTCCCCAGTCACCTATCCCAGAAGAACTCAAGTCTCCATCCCATGTTGTCCAGGCTTCTACCTAAAGTAACCCTTGGCTAGACCAAATTTCAGCTTCTCTTTGGGTCTAAATGTGGCTATTGCATTCATTCTAACTTGCCTTTCTGGACTGTCCACTAGTACTCTGGGACATTTCTTCTCAGCCCATGAAGATGTGTGTGGGACACAAGGGGGCTTCTCCCTTCTGCCATGAGACAGTTGTGGGGTCCTCAAGATCTCTTAAGATGGCAGGGTTTTGCCAACCCTAGGTGAAGTTGCACTCACTTGTAAACCATGCAGTCCTACTGAGAGAGAGCAGCTGGAGCTGGCTTATCCTTTCAAGCACAGGCCTATTTATAACACTGCCTAGGAGGCCCCTGGGAACAAGCTATGGACTGAGGCCCCTGGGGCTTGGCAGGCAAGGGACAGCATCTCTATGTTCACTTGTGTGTCACTCCTACAGCCTTCTCACTATTTCTGTCTGGTATATGTGTTGTAAAGGGGTGATTATGATGATCTATCCCCACTCTTAAATATAACTCAAACTCCCCAGGTAGCAACAGTGATTAGAGCTTTTCATCATTAGCCACTTTGCTAGACATGACAGACATCATGGAAGTATAGTTATGTCCTTGAGCTCTAGGAGTTCACATCCTTTTTAAAAACCAAGATAGGTGGGCAGCCCCAGTGGCACAGCGGTTTAGCGCCATCTGCAGTCCGGCGTGATCCTGGAGACCCAGGATCGAGTCGCATGTCGGGCTCCCTGCATGGAGCCGGCTTCTCCCTCTGCCTGTGTCTCTGCCCTCCTCTCTCTCTCTCTCTCTCTCTCTCTCTCTCTGTGTGTGTGTGTGTGTGTGTGTGTCTATGAATATATAAAATCTTAAAAAAAAAGATAGGTACACAAAACCAGTAATTCCCAGAACTCAGAAAAAGGGCAGGCACTTCTTCAGTTTCTCATTCTTGGCTTTACTTTCCATTGATGAAATAGACTTTGAGGTAGGAAAGCCACTCTGTAACCTGTGTTACAGATAAGGAATGGATAACATGAAGGCTCTTTGCCTCAGTTACAGAGTTATTAGTGATAATATTGGTTGGAGAACTAAGTATTCTGATTCTATATTTATTAACATTTAACAAATATTATTAGGGACCTACAGTGTAATAAAATATGCAATTTTTTAAAAGCTCACCCTCATGGATTATACATTCTGGTGAGAGGAACACACAGTCCATGGTTAACATGAGAAACAATAGTTTCTCCTTATGACTACCTAAGGAGAAAAATAGAGGTAAGAAGAGAACAACTAAATCCTGGGGTGGGTGGTTGAAATTTTAAATGAACTTGCCAGGGAATGCCTCACATAATGGAGACATTTGAGAGCCCTACAGGGAGTAACAAATATATCCATGTGATCACTGAGGAAGACAATTCAAGGAAAGAAGAACAGAAACTACAAATCTTCTGAGAAGGGATGTATCTGGATGTTTAGAATAACAAGGAGGCCAGTGTGCCTGAGTAGAGAGAACAAAGGAATGAGTAATATATAGAGAGAATCAGATACATAATAGGGAATTGGATCATATAGGGCTTTATGGGACTTTTTACAGGACAGTTAAGGATTTACTTAGAGTCTGCATTCAGGTAGCTACAAGAGCAGCCATGTTTCTACTACTGCTCTGGCTTTCAGGAAAGTCTCCAAGGCATTGCAAGCTTATCCACCTTGGTGAGAGGTGACGTCCATCCTGCAAACCACCCATTCCAAAATTGTCCAAAATACCCACTCCCTCATGAGGAAAGCTTGCATATTTTCAGGATAGTGGGGCCACCCATAGGTTAGGATGTGTGTAGGGGGTGGTGAGGTAGGAGAGAAACACCTGTAGAAGTAGCATGAACATCTTGGCTGTCTGGTTCTTTAGACTAAAGTTCCTTCTTATTCTGATTTTTAGGACTCTGTTCCCCAACATTTTTCTCTATGTTTATCCTTCTCTCCCCCAACAAACAAATATTTAGACTGTAAATCTACAGCATCTTAACTTTTCATTTCTTTCCAACAGTGAATGAATGAGTCATAGACATTCCCTGATCCTGGGAATAAGTAGTCTATGGTGAGGAAAAAGTTACAGGAGAATCTGAAATGGGATGTCCTGAGAAAAAAGCACTAGGTACTGCAGAAGCACTTGGAAAGGAGTGAGAAGCCAGGAGATATTTCTGAGAGAAAGTCATTTCTATTCTGAGTCAGGAGAAGGGAGATAGTGAGCGTGCTGAAGAGGGAGGTAACAGCTTGTGCAAAGGCTTGTAAGTGATCCAGAGCAATCACAGCTAAGAAATGCAAGTGGTTAGTTGTGTCTGGAGCACTGAACAGAGGGCAAGCAATGAGGCTTGAGAGGTACAGAGAGCCAGCTCATTCAGGGTTGTTATTATTTTATTATGTGGCAGACCCCAGTTTGGGGTCTGGAAGACAGTATGAATGAAACAAAATTATTCTCAAAGAACTTATCTGGTAATGGGGAAACTAGGGAAGAAATAATGGGTATGTAATATTTTGATGGGAAAAGGGAGTGCC